TTTCGGGGAGTTTAATAACTTAAAACAACTAAATATGCAACAGATGTGCTGCTGATGAAAATATCACCTTTAGTTACAACCATATAAGAGCAAATAACTACAGATAGTAAAGATGGGAATCACCAGACACCCAATAATAATATTTTTTATCATATTTTACTCACAATATGAAATTATTGTCACATTTTTGATATGACATGTGCTGTAATAATTGGTGTGTTTTTGCTGACAATAAGACGGTGACTAAAACCTGCCACAGACAGTCTGCGGTCAGTCATCAGTCATATGGGGTAAAGCTGGTAATAACCTGCAGTCTGTTTGCAATAATACAGTAATGATCTGTGATAAACCTGTGAAAATCACAAATGTGTTGCTGTTTGCATAGATAGAAACTCACAGAAAACAGAAATGATCATGTGACTATTACATTTGCTCAACCAGCTGAGCTTCAGACTAATGGGAACAGTGTGCATGGAGAAATGATTTTGAAATTATTTGCAAACCTTCAACAATGTCAGCAGTGACTGCAGTCAGTCCAGGCCAGACTGAATATTACAGACATTTGCCTTCCTGTCTGTAATATTCTCACAGTGTAATTGAATGAAAACATATCAATATTAGGTGCCCCTGTATAGATACCGCATCACCACACCTAACAGACAGATGACACATGAGAGTCCATGTTTTAGAAGATCTCTGTAAATCTTCACATTTTCTACAGTTTTGTGTCATTCGTTTTACAAAGCGATGTCGAAATTCTTGTCACGAGAGCATGAACGTCAGCTTCCCTAACCACGGGCTGCCTCATGTGATCCGATCACATGACAGATCATCCATCTGGCCCATACGACCAGTAGGCTGTGTAATATAGTTCTGCCTGTAAAACACTGCAAACACGCAGATATGACATTTTAAATGCGTGACCAGTTGAGTGTACCGCACTCAACTGGTCGGTTGAGTACACACCGTACCGTATATCCCCGCACGCTGAGTATATCTCATGAATAGTTCCGAGACATTAGTGAAAGGCAGCATGCTAGCGTGGCTACACTGCTGTTTGACAGAAATGACATATTCTCAAACGCAGCATGTACAGCAGCAGTAAGGTTCATTTGCCGAATTACTCGCATTTAATTATTAATATTTATAAAATAAAAGCTGGTTTGTTTAACACCCTGTGTACAGCACCACAGGAGGATAGTTAGCTAACGCTAATGCCCTCTAATGCTGCGTCCCCGTTCAATGGGATATCCGAGACTTAAGCGCAATCTTACACCTTTATATTCTCACACTACACATTAACCTATTGCACGAGTCCGTAAACATACTGTCCCTTGTGCCATTTTAAATGCTACATTTATACATCGAGTCAAAGTTATCCCGTTTCCTACCGCAACTACATCACCGAACGCAACACAACAACCTTGTTAGCAGGTAGCTTGCATTAGCAACGTACTTAGCCGGGGCTGAGAGATGTAGTTCCTGGTCACAGCCTGGGTATGTGTCCTCGAAGCCGCTGCCAGGCCGTTCACATCCATCGCCCTGTTTGCCACCAGTGTTGCCATTGTCGGATAAGGTGCAGAAACCTAAGAAATCTGACGCTGGTTGACGTGCTTTGCTAAGAGCTACTGAATGACAGCAGAGCGCGAGTCATGTGACACACAGGAAACGGATGTTTGGTAAAGGCCATGGACTCAAAGCAGTGAGAAGTAGCTGCTTCTCACAGAAACGTAATGAATGTACAGTAAGTAGATTAGGAAAGAGAAGCTAACAGCAAGGCTGT